AGCACCCTCAGGTGCTAGCACCTGATTCCTTTCACACACCAGCAGCCTGTGTTTTGTAGCCACCAAAGAACTCAGAGTAAGGAATGAATGTAGGCTTTGCAGGCTTAAGGCAACATGGCAGCCAGGGGACAAGTGCTGAGCTGGCAAAGTGAAGTGGCTATTAAACTGGCTACTAGAGTAGGTCATTTCTCAGCCATTCTGCAGTCACCACTGTACTGGTGAATGGTATGGCTGGTTCTCTCAGCAGAAAAATGCAGCCCAAGGACACGTATATTTATAAATGATTCCACAGGGTTATTTGTTAGAAACCTCGAGTCATGGGGGCAATCACATTTCTGTCAAAGTCCATGGCCCCTTAGAGCAGAGCAGTCACCTACAACAGCCTCAAGTGGCAGAGTCCAACCTGCCACACAGTCTCTATGATGCTGCCCTCACCATTTTGGCTCTGCACCTCCAGGTGAAAAGCCTGTGGCCAAAACTCAGGGCCTACACCACTGGGCCCCAAAGTTCCCTACTGGGTCTCAGCAGGGGCTATCTGTATGTAGCCTCTAGGAGGCACTGAACCTGGGATCTACCATCCGGAGCCCTGTCCCTTGCTCAGCTCCGCTTTCTTCGCTCTGTGCCTAAGTGCATTTTCATCCCATCAACCAGGTTTCCCATTCCTGGTTCCCCCACAGCCTTGCCAATATATCCTGCCAGGAGTTCTCCAGCCCGGAGCTCTCATTCCCTCACGGCAGTGCCGTACCAAGAGTTAAAAAGGAGGAACGCTGAATAAGGACATCTCAGAGGCAGGGTGTCCCCAAGCAGAGGCCACCGACCTGGAAGGGGAAGAGATGTGGCACAAGGCAGGTGTGTCCTAAAGTGCTGAAGCTTTTGGGGACCGCTGCTCTTGTCACTCAGAGCACAATCGGGGCTAGTTTCTGGCTGGCTGGGGTCTCCGCCTGCCACCTACAGCCCCGTGATGCAGCCCAACCAACCGGGTTCTCAGCCCGCCCTGTGGGCGGGGGGATTTGCAGCCGGGGGCTCTCAATGCACGAGCAATGGCCATGCTTGCAGAGGCGCTGGGATACTGTGTATAGGCTGAGGGTTGTGCACTGTGTGCTCAGACTCCGAGATCCTGGCAACAGGGAGAAGCTTCTTTCTAGGCACTCTACAGGTTGAGGGCAGCAAGTCAGGACCACAGATCCTCTAGGTGTGACATCGGGAGTGAAAGGATCGGGAGTCGGGTCCTAAATCCCTCCTTTGCATTGCTGTATAACTCTGTTTTAGGGCACATACTTAAAACTGAGAGTTAGGGTAAGTATGATGAGAGCAGATCATCCCATCATGCTGTTTGTGGATGCAACCCCATGAAAAGCTCAGATAATGTTCAAGGTTTGCCTGTCTCAGAGCAATCTGCACACACAAAGATCTAAATTTGTTCCTTCATTGCACTTGATAATCAGGTAGGAGCTCAGGGAAAATGGTTTGGATTCTTTTTTCTCTTTAAATTATTTTATTCAAGAAGATTGAGAGGAGGGGCACATGGGTGGCTCAGCTGGGTAAGTGTCTGCTGTCCTGGGATCAAACTGCACTTGGGGCTCCCTGCCTAGCGGGAAGCTTGCTTCTCCCTCTTTCTGCCTGAGGCTCCCTCTGCTTGTGCTCTCTCTCTCTGTCAAATAAATAAATAAATAATTTTTTTTTTTAAAAAAGGCTCTATTTGAAAAAAAAAAAAAAGAAGAAGAAGGTTGAGAGGATAGTCAGGGGGATCTTACTGATCTCTGACCCAAAACTCTCAGTTCTCCTCCCACATTAGGACAGGAAAAACGTGGGCACTCTAGTCCCACCGGACAAAACTGAAAACAGACAGGACCCACGAATGCAGATGGCCATCCTTCAGTTTGTCCCCCACAGGAAATGAATGGCCAGGATACTTGGCATGCAGCCTCGGACTACCTCAAAGAGAGCTGGTAGGGAGTGCCACGGTTCTTCTGGGAGTGCTGAGGGTCCTACTTTGCCAGAGGCGCCCCTATGCTGAAGGCATCCACCACACTTATGGACACGGTCTTGTCTGGGATCTGGGGGAAGCACATATTGTGCCTGTTGTCCCTGCGATACCTTCCACTGTGGAAGTCATGACGGTAGGGGTCCCCCCGACAGCAGGTGGGAGCTGGAACTGCTCAGAGGCAATGAGGAAGTTGTGGCCATCGATCTCCTAAACTTCTTTGAGAAAGCACTTCTGTGGTTTGTTCGCTTCTCTCGTCAGGCAGCAGTGTCACAGGGCTTTGTGGAAGAAGAATCATGTGGGACCTGGTGCCGAGCTCCGCGTCCAGCCACGCACCTGTGTACTCAGGCACTGATGGCAGGGAGGACACATTGCTGCCAGTCCCCCAGTTGCGGTGGTCCGTGGTCACAGCTACGAGCTACGAGCTATGGGGCAGACTTGCCTTGCCTACTGGGGGACCTGACTCCGGAGGGGGATGGAGCTCAAAATGTGAGCCTCCTCACACCAAGTTATTCAATACGGTTACAAAACCAAGAGCAAAATAGGCAAGTGGCTATCTTAAAATCAGTATTTACCTTGGCAACTTATATATTAGGTCGTGTTCTATGTAGCCCTAAGTTTGGAGAGGTTTCAGGATAGCTGAACATAATCTAAGCAACCCGCAGGCGTGAAGGTCTACACTTCCTTGAATTTACTCGGTAAATCAGGCATGGACTCAGTGGAGAATGGTTTTGTAGTTCACACTAGGAGGATAATACTAATAAATAATTATTTATTTATTAAGAACCCGCCGTCCGGCCAGTCCACCGTGAGGAGAGCGAGTTTTATTTATTTATTCAGTATTCAAGATTTTATTTCTTTATTCATGAGAGACACAGACAGAGATGCAGAGACATAGGCAGAGAGAGAAGCAGGGTCCATGCAGGGAGCCCGATGTGGGACTCGATCCCAGGACTCTGGGATCACACCCTAAGCCAAAAGCAGACACTCCACCATGGAGCCACCCAGATGTCTGGAGAGCGAGGTTTAGAGACTCCATTCACCAGTCCCGAACTCACTCCCTCAGGGTCAGGCGGTACCAGGGGTTTAGATGGAAGACAGCGCTATACGGGCATCTTGGAAACTAGGTGTCCCCGACACAGAGGCCACAAAACAGGAAGGGAAAGCCGGGGCACAAGGCGCAGGTGCCCCATGAAATGCAAAGTCTCCTGCGGACCGAGGGGAGGGGTGCACCGTTGCCCGGATCACGTACGACGTACCCGGGCGGTGTTTCTGCTCCGCCTGGGAGAACCCCCTAACTGGGTGCCTGCCTGCGCGGCTCAGCCCGGGTACAGAGTCCGCCCCCGCCGGGCTGGCACACCTTGCTTGTCACCGCAATTCTGGCACGTTGCTTGCGCAATTCTTGTGCATCCCTGGCTCACATCTGGCGCAGGGCTCACGCGATTCCTCGCATCGCTCTCGGCCTTCCCTGGTGCGTCCCTGGCGCACATCTGGCAGGTACCCTGCGCCAAATGCTGTGCCACAACCTGCCTAGCCCTGCAGGTACCTGTGTAGAGAATGAGGACTGTGCGCTGCCCTCTGGCCAGGAGATCCTGGGAACCTTGAGAAGCTTCTTTCTTAGGGCTCTTTGTGCTAAGAGCAGCAAGTCGGGTCTCAGGACCTCAGAGGAGCTGGCAGTGGAAAGAACAGGTGGAGGGGTCCTAAAACCCTCCAGTTGGTGGGTCCTGGGGAGAGTGGAGGTGCAACACAGAGAGCATGCTTAAAATTGAGAGTGAGTGCGGGTGTGGTTCGAGCAGCTCACCACCTGCTTCGGCGTGTCAGAGGGTCGAAGGCAGCTTGGGCTTGATTCAGGGGGATCCCTCGTGGATGCCCGGGTGTCAGACCCGCTGTGCCCGCCTGTGCTCTGGGAAGCACGCGCACGTTTAGAGGCAGAAACGAGTTTGGGGGAAAGCTTTGGGTGTGAGCGTCTGTATCCACAGCAACTCTTCACTATCTTCACGCCAGCTCTGCTCTCTAGTGGAGGACTGAAGGGCGGTGGATGCAGGCACGGGGCTGGAATTTCACGCTCCTGGGATAACTTGGCAAACAGCCGCCGGAAGCCAGGGGCAGCTGGGCAAATGGCTCCAGCAGGCTGACGAGCGGGAGGTGATGGATGGCGAGCTAGGAAGAGGAAGGGTGGATGTCCATCTGCAGCCTTGGGAAGCATCGGTGCTTTGCACCCTCAGGCTCAGCCCCCACGGGGCTACCAGCATCTCTTCACCCACTTGACTGAGCACCGGGGGCCAATCGCAGACGCCACACATGGTGGGAATCTGGAAAATTGAGACCGCGATTTCACTGAATCCTCCATGTGGACCTGAGGGCTCTTCTAAATCCCTCCTTAGCTAGAGAACAGATGCGTTGCTACTAATGAGAACATTTTGTCAGGATGTCTTTGGTCCCCATTTGGAAGATGCGTATAGTGAGGTGCTGGGAAGTTAATTGCCCTTGATCCTACTGCGTGAAACTGGAATAACTGGAATTCAGTTCTTCTGACAAACTTGTAGCTATTAGTTCCCACACCTGCCTCCTATGTTGTTAACCTTCCAAGCTCCACTGAGAGGGGGGATCAGGGTCAGATTTGGGGAGCCAGGATTCCCTGCCTCCGGAATCTTGCCCTAGAAGACTGCACTGCTGGGGATGGAGAGGAGCACATGTTCAAACCCCAGCAGAAATGAACCATGACATCAAATTGCCCTCAACTTCCTGTTCATATTAAGGCTATTTTTCCTTGGTTTCCCCCACCCCCTATCCCTCTCCCTCCATCCACCCCCATCAATGACCTCAATGCAAATACAAGTGGGTTGATCCTGCTGAGTGTTCTAGGTTATAGACGCAAATGGGTGACACAATCCATCAGATACTGAGATCTGTCTCCTCATTGGTTGCTCAGAGCTCCTGGACCCCCGCCCAGACCCAGAGCGGCGGGAATAAGAGCAGCTGCTTGTGCTGGGAGGCAGCAGAGCCACTGCTCAGCTCAAGGGTCCCTGCCACATCCACGGTGCCATCGGACACCAACACTGCCACAGCTGCCGCCGCCTGTGCTCCAAGCCACCGGCTGCCTGCAGACAGGTAATCCCGAGATTCCTGCTTGGTTGTGTGATTCTCTCTCCTTCTTCTCTCCCTCTTCTGCTTTCGTCTTTCTTATAGCTGCTCTCCCTGCGTGCACAGACTACTGTCTGGGTCTCCTCATCACAAAATCTCTGTTACTCTGCAATTCATCTCAGGATCCTGCCCCAGGTAACACTGGACAGTCTCATGGCCTATGGACATTTGAACTGTAGGTTATGGCATCACTGTTCTCTTTCAGAGGCGTCATGGGATTCTGGAAGTTGTCCCCGTTTCTGGCTATTGGTCTCCTGGTCATGTATCAAGCAGGCATCCTACAGGCTGCACCATTCAGGTAAGAGAATTCTGCTGGGAATGCACTCCCATATTACTCTTAACACCAAACAGTTCTGTCTCTCTTGTGCTAAAGTTTAGCCCCCAGCTCTCAGGGGAAAATGGAAAAAAAAAAGGACTCATGCCCTTTCCACTAGGATTTGGGGTGACCACATCCTCAGAGGACTCACAAAAAGCAGGAAGCCTGGCTACTTATCCAGGAGAAGTGGCAGACAGGGGCTCAGAACCTCCATTGTGCTTGTGCTTTGCTTGCTTGTCTCTGTAGGTCTGCCTTGGAGAACCCACTGGAATCTGCTACGCTCACTGAGGATGAAATATGCGTCCTACTGACTGCAGTGGTGAAGGACTATGTGCAGATGAAGGCTCGTGAGCTGCAGCAGGAGCAGGAGACTGAGGGCTCCAGGTGAGGCTCACCACCCTGTTCAGCTCAGGGCATCCCCTCCCTCCTGTCATGCCCAGGAAGGCATATCCCAAGAAAAGAGAGAGAACACAGCAGAACAGGAGGCCAGCACGCTGCCCCTGTTCACCTCAGCCTGGGGTCCAGCTTATCTCAGTCTCCACTGAAACTACAGGTCACACAGAGAGACTATGGTTAGAGCACACGTAAAAAGATCCCTTTCTGAAAGCAGTTGGGGAAGGTATGAAGTCCCCCACTCTGGAAATAGGGCTGGCAGTACTGGGGGTGCTTCCAGCATTGGAGGAGTTAGGACTGGTAAGTATGAAGCCAGCAGATGGATCCCATATATCTCAGGAAACTAGAAATTTGGTTTCTTGTAAACCGGCACATGGCCTCCTCTCCTACTTCATTACACATTTGCAAGGTGAAGCCAAAGGCCGTGCAGAAGATGGGGTCAAGTAGAGCAGGGTCCAAAGTAGGTCTGGGGTCCTTAGATGTGTAGGATTTGTAGAGACGCACATGTTGTCCTGGGGCCAGACCCTTCACCAACATCACCTCCCAGAGTCCCCTGAGCTTGGAGCACACTCCATCCCCTGGCTTGGTCCTGGCACTGCCAGGTCAAAGGTGAGCGATGCACATGCAGCTACCACAAGGATCTCACTACACTGCATGAAGAACTGATGCATTGCAGCATGTGGAAAGTCAGAAAAGGCCACCTTTCCCCCACTACAGTCCTTCCCCAACTGCCCTGGCTCGGCAAACTCTAGGTTCTCCTAATGGAGGATATATGAGCTGCTCTCCTGCCTGCCCCTACAGCTACCACTCAAAGTGGCCCTCCCTGGTCCAGCCTTCTGTGCAATAGCCACAGGGGGCAGACCTGGTGCTTGGTACCACCTGGCATGTCTTTTCCCTGCAGCCTGGACTCCTTCCGAGCTAAGCGGTGCAGTAATCTCAGTACCTGTGTGCTGGGCACATACACACAGGACCTCAACAAGTTTCACACGTTCCCTCAGACTGCAATTGGGGTCGGAGCACCTGGCAAGAAAAGGGTCCTGGCCAGCAGCTTGGAGAGAGACCACCGCCCTCACATTGGCATGATCCAGGATGCCTACTAATCCCCTCCCTCTGCTTTCTAATTTCTTTCTTCCTATATTCTGATATGTGTGGTCCTCTCTGGTTGCTGGTATCAGTGGCTTTCTTTGTGGCAGTGGATGTCTGGACCCTCAGATGGGAGGAAAGCAAGATGTTCAGGCCAGAAGAGAATCACCCAGGAAGAGATGAGAAGTGGGGCTGGAGGTGGGGGACCCCTGTGACTCCCCCTGAGGAATCGCAGCCCTCTCTGTACTGCTTGCGAATGTGTTGGTCATTGGGGAATAAAAGGATATTTATAAGAAGACATGAGTGGTGGTGGTTATTGCTATGGCCACACCACAGGATTCAGGGTTTCAGGGACCTGTGCTTAGGAGTAGCCTTAGCCCAGTGGTAGCTGGATCTGGGGCACAGTGCGCAGTCCCTGTGGCCAACCTCAAGTGGGGGAACAGGAGCAGTAAGGAGCAGGTAAGCACCTCTAGGACTCAAGGCTCTAAAGTCTCTTCATCTTCCAGGTGAGTCTCGGGAATTTTTTTATTTCTAAGAAGGGATATTGGGTGCCTTTGAGTGGGATGTGGTTTCTAGACAATCCTTGTGTTGGGGTCAGTGTGGGGCCATAATTCTCTCTGTGTCATAAGCCTTGCTTGAATTTTAGTTTATTTATACAGGAAAGAGAAGCTGTTAGAGCTCTGAGTTCCATTCTCACTCACCCAGAGCCACTTTGGGGGTGCTGACACCTCTGGGAATGTGTATTGGAGTGATCATGGCTTTTCCTCAGCAGCCTATGTATTTCTGCAGTGATACTTCTGTTTAGGGAAAATGTGAGGTTAACTGGTGCCTCTCAGAGCAATAATTTTACCATGACTATCCCAGGGGGCAGATAGGATCTCTCTTTGACAGCCTCTCACTGATGGGCCCCTTTCTTCCATCCTGCAAATCAGCCTCACTGCCCAGAAGAGCTCCTGCAAGGATGGCCCCTGTGTGACCAACCGTCTGGAAGGCTGGCTGGCCAGAGCTGAGCGCATGGTGAAAAACACCTTCATGCCCACCGATGTGGACCCTGAAGCCTTTGGGCACCAGCACAAGGAGCTTGCAGCCTGAGCAGTGACATGACCCCAGGAAGAAGGTGATTGCCCTTGTACTGTCAGATGGGAGGATGGAAAGCTGGGAATTGCAGGGGTGCAGTCCACACTGTAACCCTCTGTGGGCCAACTGAGTAGAAAAATCCACAGGGAATATGCCCACTCCAGTGTCTGGGGAGAGAACAGGCAGTCCCAGGACCTGAAACTCCTAGAATCTGGGTTCATTCCCCTCCAAGTTACCAGTATTTCCCTGTGACAGTGAGATCATCTGCCAGAAAAGACAGATCTGTAGATTTCAGTGACTGTCCCCTGCAGTTACAAGTGATCATTCTATCCTTTGAAAGGTAATGACATCCTCTGGGTGTAAACACTACTGTCAGGTACCCCTGATTTCAGAGCATACTCTTGGGATCAAGAACTGAGTTTGCCTTCTATTAGCTGTATGCCCCCTGCCCAGATGCTGTATTCGAGTGAGTTCCCCCATCTGTGAATCAAGGGCAACAATAGTACCAATTGCTGGTATTGTTACAAACAGTCAACGAGATAACAGATGTCCATATTTTCACAATCAATAAGTTACTAAATTCTGGCTGTGATTTTTTTTTTTTTTTTTTTGCAGGTCACCATGAAGCAAACTCTACTTCTCTTAACTTATAATGAAAACAACTTATCGAATGCAGAGCATGAAAGACACATACATATGCATGCTTACTATTAAAACATTGTGTCTTGTTTAAATAAAGTAAAACTAAATACATAAACTAAATAAAACTTAAATAAAGAGAATAAAATCATTGCAATTGCCTGGTGTGAAATCTTTTTGTACTTGATGACTTGTTGAATACAACAGCCCGTCTCATTGGATTATCTGGTAGCAAAGATGGGCCCTGTCAGCCAACCTACAGATGTTGGCAATCCTGGTAAATCTTGGGGAGGGGGGATGTGGAAAGCTGCCTGGTGGGTGTCAGGGGGGCCCATGATCCATGCTGAGCCTCCACAAAACTGTTTGAAGAAATTTTGTCACTGGTGAACTTCATCAAGATAAGAAAGAGTTTTCGATCCACTTAAAAGGTGTCCCTACTGCTATTTGTGGTGTTTTTCCCAGGAAAGCCTAAAGACCTGTGAAGGCTTTGTTGGCCAGGGTGATCCATGAAGCAAATGCAACATGCTTGGGGTGGGATGGGTCCTCAGTGTCCTGTCCTTTTGGCTTTTAGGATAACACCCTTAATGGAATTAGAACTCTATACATCTGAAAGGCAATTCCCCTTTACCTTCAGAGTTCCCTGGTCCCCAGCACCAGAGGTTATCTGTGTAATTCCCCTTGACTCAGGTTTGCCCTTATCCATCTCTCCCTTTCCTGCCCATAAGCACCCCTCCTCCACCCCATAGCCCACAAAGCCCTTTACAAACAATGGCTCAGAGTCTGAGATGCAGTCACAGACCAGCAGGCCTGGAAAGGTCATCAGGTGTCACCCAGTCCAACTTTTCTTATTCTCTGGGGTGCTGAGAAGAAAAGCATGGTGCTCAAAACACTGCGATATGTGTAACAGAGACATTCCCACACCCAACGAGTACTCATCGAGTGGCTGCTATTTGGTGGACACTATTCCAGGCACCAGGACTATAGCAATGAACAGAAGGGACCAAACCTCCTGCATTCTAACTGGGGGAAATTAGGGGGACATGTGCTGTGGCGTCGGAGATGTACTGGATGTACTGGAAGGAGTCTGGGATGTCCCAGTTTAATGCCTGATCTGATGTAGGAGTTTCCCAGACTCAGCATCCCTGGCATCTGCTGGGACTGTCAGTAAGATGCTGCTGACTGCCTCCCAGGGTGACTGTGTGGCCAGGTTCACTGGTGGATGGTCAGTTAGGTGAGGTAGTTTACTTGGAAAAGTCACCCCCTTCTACCCATCAATTCTAGTTATTTCCTCAGGAGCCCATAGAATTATGACCCTCGTCCCCATTCAGTCTATACTCCACACTGTCACCCACTGTTGCTGTAAATCACCCAAATGTCTCCTTTATGCAGAAAGTATTCCATTGACTGCCCATTCCATGGAGTAGACACCTAGGGCACTGCAGTGACTTCTGAGGTCCACACCGGTCTTCCCTCGCCTCCTCTCACCACCACTGCCATGACCTGCCTGGCCTCATCTTCATCTTCCCTCTCATACACTGGCCTTCTTACTATTCTTCATCCCCACCCTTTGGCACCAACCCCCTCATGTTTTTGCTCTCGCTGTACCTGTTGCAAAATGCCCTCCACCCCATGACTCCATGTCCTCTAGATCACACTGAAATGTCATCTATTCTAGCCATCCTTTCTAAATTGTACCTCATCTTTCCAATACACCCTAATCCTCTTCTCTGCCTTATGTTTTCTCTTTACCACTTATTACCTTCTATACATTAAATAAAATATATTTTTAATGTTCATTTAATTAATGTTGGTACCCCATTCCATCAATAATATAAGTTTTACATGGTCAGGGATTGGTTATTTTAACAAAATAATGTTAATTTCTGAATTCTCAATACACAGAACAGTATGACTGGCACAAGGTATCACTCAAATATTTATTTATTGAGTGAATGAGAGAATGGAGTTATGTCTTCTCTTTTATGATCATGGTCAACTCTCAGGTCCCCTCTTGGCCTGATTTTCTTCAGGACAAACTGTCCAAGGGCCTTCATCTTCAGCAATTCAGACACCTGGACAGTGAACCATCCAAATGTCTGGATGCTTCTGCAATGGCCACCAGTTATCAGTGACCCTGCATCCTGCCTGAAGACCTCCACCGGGCCTCATACTTTGTTTTCAGCACCCTTCTTGGCCTACAGTGCTCCTCCTCCAGGTTCATCTGACCAGTGTTTCTTCCTCCCATGCTGTCAACAAGGCAGACAGGCAAGGTGCTCTCTAGGAGTGATGCATCAGACTAGGTAAGTAAGTTTAAATCAGGAGGGAAAATAACTGATAAATCACTTTAGTCTGGGATCCAAGGTAACTTCACCAATACTGAAGCTAATACTGCACTGAATTCCCACCAGCACTCTGGATACTTCTCCAGAGCTGACTCTGAGCTCACAGATTAAGAGTGCCACTTATGAACCTTCAAACCTCAACATATGGTATACTGGCTCAAAACCCTAAGAAGCTATGGAAGAAGTGGGTAAGGAATTAAAGTACAGCGTGGACAGACAGAAGCCTTTTGTTTGACTGGAGCATCAGTTTTTACAACTCAAAATCCACATGGGCCTTTGTAGCAGAACAATGTCTTTTGGTATAAGCCTCATGCCAAACACTCAGAGCTGGAGGATATATGCCTTAGCTGAATGAATTATCACTCGCAAGTCTTCACTATGCTATGATAATTTACATATGCTTAGTCTTGCCATGGCCCCATGATAGGTGGAATGGACATTCCCGTCTCTTGATTTGAGGTTTAGCCAAGTAACTTGCTTAGGCTGATGGGATTTGGTAGATGTGGTGTAAGCTGAGGCTTGAAATGTGTTTATGTGGTTAGGTTTTGTGCTCGTTATACTGCCATTACCCCACAAAGTACAGGCTTAGGTGCCTTTTGACCTTTTTGCCTGGATCCCAAAATGTGGTCTAGATCCCTGCCCTGCAGTCTAGACCCACATGCGGCCAACATTAGTGGAGACTGTCCTTAACCCCTACTACATGCCCATGACCAAGGAGAGTTAAGTATTTGCTTTTGTTAGCCACATAATATTTATGTAATATTGCCATGGCAAAAACTAACTGGTACATGTGATTCGGGAATGTTATAAAGTGAATGTGTCCCCCATAATCCGTATATTGAAACTCTCACTCCCAATTTGACTGTATTTGGAGATAGGGCATTTAGGGAGCAGTTAAGATTAAGTGAGGTTGTAAGGATAGGATCCCGATCTGATATGACTGCTGTCCTTATGAAAACACAGAGAGATATCAGACATCTCTCTTTCCCTCTCCACGTACACACAGAGAAGGGGCCTAGAGGGGACACAGTGAGTGGATGGCCATTTGTGAGAAAGGAAGTGAGACTTCACCACATAGTAATGGTGATGGGACTTTGATATCACTTTTCCAATATCCAGAATGAAAGAAAATACTTTTCTGTTGTTAAGCCACCCAGCCTGTGCCATTCTATAATGATTGTGAGAGCAGACTAATAAAGGGGTCATCAGTTGATGGAATTATTTTTAGTATCACAGCTTGTTTTTCTTCCTATTGAGATTTTGGGCTTTATGTCAGTTTGCTAAATATCCAAATTAGCAATTTTACTTTTTTCTTTTTATGAGTTCATTTTCATTTTTTCTCCTTAAAATCATCTGAAAGAATGTTCATTTTGTTTTGGTTCCAATCTCCTACTGCTAAAACTGGATAATCTGTACCATAGATAATGAAGTTTGGTTTACTCATATAATAGATATATACAACACACATAGAACAGTGAATATAGATATCTGTATCAATCTGAATAAATTTCTTATATAATATTGAGTATAAAATAAAGCAAGTTTCAAAGAACACATCCCAGATAATACTATTTGTATTGAATTTAAAACATGTATAGCATTACTATACAAAATCTATGGGGATATATATATATATATGGTCATTCACAGAAAGGATAAGCGTCACATTTTTTTTAAAACTAATTTTATGCGGTCGGAAGGAAATGTCAATTAGAGGAATATTTAGTCAGCACCCAGAAAGGTTTTGTTTTATTATGTAAGCTGGGTAGTTGGTATATATGAATTGTCATGATATTTGTGTTTAGTAGGAAAAAATTTCATAGTTTTTATATTTTTATATTACATATTTTAAATTAAGGCAACTGTCATAATTTTTTTAAGTATGAATTTTAAATACCAAAAGAAGACCTGTTTTATTCAATGCAAAGCATGAAAAATACCCCCAATATATACAATGAATGCATAATTGAGTAGAGATGGTAGTAATAAATACTCATGTAGCTTTAATACTGGTATATTAGGGTTACCAATTCAGATCCAAGACTACCAGGTTGCATTTTTTTTTCAAGAATCCAACAATGTTCTTTCCACGAGAGAAACATTTAATACAAAAGGACTGAGAATTGATTAAAATAGATGAATAGTAAAAGATATGTGACAAATATGAATAAAAATAGTAGAGTAAGTTTGTAATATATGATCAAAATAGAATTCAAGGCAGAAAACCTTAAGAAAAAATGGAAAGGTGTTATTTGATGGGAAAAGGAACCAAATGGCAAGATATTTTGGTAATAGACACACATGCATCCAACAACATGTCCTCAAATTATGTGAAACAAAAACAGATAGAACTGCTGGAGAAATATGTGTATCAAGAATTCTCGTTATGGAATGAATGTACCCCACAAATAAGCCATTAGGTTTAGGAATCACCTCCAAATGCATGGTTTAATGTTGGCTCTGCAAATACCCCATGACAATATGATAGGTTTGAGAAAACAGTGTTTACAACCACAAAAATGTAATAAAGTATATCAATAAAAAGATTATATCTACTTTTCTAAACCCATTCATTAAATAAACCAACATGTCTCACATTGATTTCTAACACTATCCTTATATGCTGATCTCCTTCTGGCCTGTCTTTTCTCCTCCATTGAGAATTGTCTAAGCACTAGTAATATGTCTTCATTACTAGTAGG